ATGAGGTGTGTAGCACTTTCTCTAGGATGAGTTTGCAAACTTAAGTGTCAGACCTCGTATGTAATTTTATCTTACATATCCTTTTTTTTTTTTTTATCTTACATATCCTTATGTAATGAACCGCCTTACGATGAAAGTTGATGGAAGGACATTTAGGTATTCGTTATTAGCTTTTGAAAAATTTCAAGTGATGTCAGTTCTCCCTTCTTTTTTATATATATGTAAAATAAGTTTAGTCATAAGGCATGGGCTGATGCATGGCTTATGCCTTTACGTCTCAGCTAGTCTGGAGGCTGAAATGGAAGGATCACTTGAACCCTGGAGTTCAAGGCTGCAGTGAACTATGATTATGCCACTGTACTTCCCCCTGGGTGATACAGCAAGACCCCCCGTCTCCAAAAATAAAACTAAAGTAATTAAAATAAAATAAAATAAAATAATAAGCCTAACAGAAGATCTGGTTTTTTTGTTTGTTTGTTTGTTTATTGAATGGTAACTATGTACATTAATGCACTTCTGGGGTACAGTGTGGGGTTTTCACACACAATCCGAAACACTTCCATCAAGAAGATCTGTTTTTAATTACCAAAAAAAAAAAATTCTGTTAAGCTTGTGTTAAGCTAGACTATTAGGATGCAATTCAGAAGGTCTTATAACTATTGCCAGTTTTTATTATATAGATAACCCCCCCATATATTTTTTTAAAGTGTGTGAAATATGTGTTACATAACATTTACCATCTTAACCATTTTTAAGTACATGGTTCGCTGGCATTAATCATTAAAGTTCATTGTACAACCATCTCTGTCATCCATCCACAGAACTTTTTGTCCTGAAAAACTGCAACTCTGTACCTATTAAATATTAACACCCCAATTCCCCTTTCCCCAGCCCCCACATACCACCATTCTATTTCTCTCTCTATGAATTTGACTACTCTGGGTATCTTCTTTTTTTGAGACAGAGTCTCACTATGTCACTCTGGATAGAGTGCTGTGGCATCACAGCTCACAGCAACCTCAAACTCTTGGGCTCAAGCGATTCTCTCGCCTCAGCCTCCCAAGTAGCTGGGCCCACCACAACGCCCATCTGTTTTCTTGTTGCAGTTGTCATTGTTATTTAGCTGGCCCATCTGGGCTCAAACCCTCCAGCCTTGGTGCACGGGGCTGGTGCCGTAACCACTGTGCTACGGGTGCCAAGCCTACTCTGGGTATCTTCTATTAGTGGACTCATCCAATATTTGTCCTTTTTAAATAGCTTATTTGACTTAGCATTGTGTCTTCAAGGTTCACATGTTGTAGCACACACATAGAATTTCTTTCCTTTTTAAGACTGAATACATTCGTTTTTCTATTCATCCCTTGATGGATAATTGGGTTGTCGCTGCCTTTTGGTTATTTCAAATCATGCTGATATGACTGTGGATATATCCCATGTATCTTTTTAAACAATCTCCATTAAAGACTTATTATTTCTTTTTAGAGCAGTTATAGATCACGGAAAACTAGAGCAGAAGGAATGGAGATGTCTGTATGTCCTGTGTCCTCACCCATGCACAGCCTCCTTCCTCATTAGTATCCCCC